GTCTTTCTTTGTCCTGCCAGTTCCCAAATAATGACATGGAGACTTCTTATTAATTATGAAATCTCATTCTATAATTTAGGCTTCTTTCATACTAGGTTTTATAACTTAAAATTAACCCATTTATATTTCTCTACGTTCTGCCACATGGCCCGTGGCTGTTACCTCTCCTCCTATATATCCTTCTTGCCTGCATCTCCTGGTGTGTCACTTTTCTTCTTCCCGGAGTCCTCTAGGTCCCGGTAAGTCTGGCCTCCATACCTCCTACACAGCTATTGGCCATTCAGCTTTTTATTACGCCAATCACAGCAACACATCTTCACACAGTGTACAAATATTCCACAAGTACCAGAGGAGAAAATGGGCTTACTGATGAACTTGTTGTGGGATATTTGTGCGCTGTGTAAAAATGTATTTCTGTGATTGGTGAAATAAAAAGCTGAAAGTCCAATAGCTAGGCAGGAGCTATACACGGGATTTCTGGGAGAGAAAGGAAGAAGAGACGGAATCAAGGTGTGCAGGAGACACCAACGAGACATGAAGGGAGTTGGACATATGGAATGAAAGAAAAGGTTAAAAGCCTCATGGTAAAAGCAGGTTAATTTAAGTTACAAGAGCTAGTGAGACAAGCCTAAGCTAAGGCCACGATTTCCTAATTAATAAGTCTCCCTGTCATTATTCGTGAGCTGGTGGTCCAAAGAAAAATTTGACTACATATAACATCCAATGTGGAGACTCGAGTATCTAAACATAGGGCCTGGGAAAGCTAAGAAAAATTCCAGATGAGGAGCCACACGTGGATTCCTAGGCCTGCAGTCTCTCGGGCAGGCCAGTGCTCAGCATACAGAGATGCGGCTCCCAGATGCTGCTTGGGCTGGAGCCAATCAACCCATGTGCTCAGTTGAGCCATGTGGTGGCTGACATGGCAGTTTAAGATTTGTCTCACATGGTCAGATAACACTGCAGGTGCTTAGTAAGGCCAGGTACAGACACAGAAAAACCTCTAGAAAAGTACAGTATGTTTGGTTGGTTGAACTCTCTCTGTAGACCAAACTGGCCTTGAACTTACAGAAATCTGCCTGTCTCTGCCTCTCAAGTTCTGGAATTAAAGTCATGCACCACCACTGCCTGGTGACTTTGGATTTTTTTAAATGCTAATGTACAAAAAACAATAGCTGCTGAGAGACAATTGGTTTATGGAAACTGCTAAATTAAACCAACCTATATATTTTAAGAATGTCTTAACTACAAAATGGAAGTCAGAAAATATGTTGTATTGGAGGAGAGGTTATGCCTTTGTTTCCAAGGGTGGGGGAAAGTTCTGATTCTCTTCAAAACTAATAAAGATCAGATATATGATGGGAGGAGACCTCCTGAAAATCATGGCTACAGACATGAAAAAAGAAACAAAGAAAGACTACAGGACAGGTGACATACATGCTGATCTGTCTCCTGTGGAACAGCTTCGAGACTGGATAAGACGTGATAAATCTTGTTGACTAAAAAGGCCTCATGACTTATTATTACATGCCATCCTTTCATATATATTACAATTTGGTTATGCAGTCCAAATGGACTTATAAAATTGACAGGTGCCTTTACCTGCTCAAACATAGAACAAAAAATTATCCTTAGCCAACTTATTCATATCATACATTCCATACTTGTGTTAATGCAGATATATATGTTGCCTTTGAAAGTTTGTGTGTTTTTGGAAAAAAGAGCCAGACACCAATAGAGACATGTAGCCCAGGTGATCCAGCCTCAAAATGCCTCTGTTGCAGTTTTGTCAAAATTCTACATCCAGAACAACTTCAAAGCTGCTACTGAGATAGTCCAGCCTCACAGACTACTCCAGCCAGGACTTCAGATAAGACCTGAAGTTTCCCATCACACAGAGAGACAAATGACACAGCTAGCTCTCCCAGGACTTGCCCATTATTTCAGTTTTCTCAGGGTCCTGTTGCCCCATCAGGAAGCCTGATGTTCCAGACTTCAGGAAGCAGTATAGAGAACATGAAGCCTGCATTCCCAAGAGGTGGGGTGGGTGGGCTTTTGGTCATTCAATGGGTTATGGGTGTTGGTTACAAGTTGTTATTGGTAATGATCAGAGAAAAAGCAGAACAAACACCCAGGTGTTGGTGGTGCCCTTTGATCCCAGCACTTGAGAGGCAGAGGCAGGTGGATCTCTGTGAGTTTGAAGCCAGCCTGGTCTACAGAGCAAGTCCCAGGACAGGCTCCAAAGCATACAGAGAAACCCTGTCTGGAAAAAAAAAACTGAACAAAGGAGATTAAATTCAGGGATCTCTTTCTGAAGGGAAAAAGAGGGGATATAATATAGAAATGGCAGGATAAAAGAGTAAATTATGAAATATACTTTTAACCTTAAAAAGCAACTATTAGTCTTAAATATTTTACATTGGTAAAATGTATATATTGATAGAAATTTAAGGTTATTTTTGTTAAACTGTATATATGGCTGGGCGGTGGTGGTGCACACCTTTAATCCCAGCACTTGGGAGGCAGAGGCAGGAGGATCACTGTGAGTTAGAGACCAGCCTGGTCTATAACAGCTAGTTCCAGGACAGCCTCCAAAGCCACAGAGAAACCCTGTCTTGAAAAACCAAAAAAAAAAAAAAAAAAAGAAAAAGAAACTTGTATATATGTTTCTACTCTTGTTTAAGGTATTATACTTATGCATCTCATTTTAAAATGTGATGTATAATTAAGAAATACAAGTTAGTAGTTATCTATGACAATCAAACTGTAATCATGTTAGGTATATTTTCATGGTTAAACCAATATATCGTAGATAAATAGATGGTCTTCAAACACTTCAGAGACCTACAGAATATGGAATTTAAGATGTTTTCAATAACCTAAAGTTTTTCATGACAGTGAGACACCTCTGCTTCTGGCAGTACCAATCTACTTCAAAAAAGGATGATGGGCATCCAAGAACCTCCATATGGAGTTTGCTTTTATTGTGGCAAAGTTAGACACTGGGCAAGAAACTTCCATTGCCTTGACTGCTGACAGTATGATGTCCAAATTGGACAAGCAGAACACAAAAGAAGGCTACTGCCAAACTTTGCCAAGACAAGGTAGGACAGTACTTCAAAATTCCTGCTTTAAAAAAGTCTGCCAGATATTCTAGGCCTGATCAGGTATGTCGATCTGTATATATGTTTCTCTTATTGGTTGATGAATAAAATACCATTTGGCCAATGAGGCAGGAAGATAGGCAGGACCGGAGATGAGGAGAATTCTGGGAAAGGTAGGCAGAGGGAGCCCTGCCAAAACAGTCAGCATGTACACCACAGAGTAACAGGTCAGGACATTCTCTGGTAAGCCAAGACCATGTATAAATACATAGATTAGTAGTTATGGGTTAGTAGTTAAGGGAGAGCTAGCCAATGAAAAGCCCTAGCCATCAGCCAACATTTAATAATTAATGTAGCTTCTGCGTGTTTATTTTGAAGTGGCAGCGGGACCTACATTCAGTCGCCCAGGGCTGTAGGCCAAAGATGGATGCCCCGATGTTGTGGAGGAACCTTGAGGTGTTGGATATCAGTCTTGAGCTAAGACCACGATGAGGTGGCCGCAAGCGATGGACTGGAGATGTGGTCTGGAGAGAGAATTAGCCTTGAGAATACAGGGAGACTTTCCTGCCCTGCACCCCTGCTGGAGAACACAGCAACATCTTGTCTCAAACAAATGATAAAACTAGATTTTTACAGGGTGTGATGAAGCATAACTTTAATTCTAGCACTCAGAAGGTAGAGGCAAGTGAACCTCTGAGTTCAAGCCAGCCAGGGCTACATAGTGAGACCCTGTCTAAATATAAAACAAAATAAAAGGAGACTTGTTTTTCTTCTCGAGTTGATGTCTCATGTGCCTCAAACTGGCTTCAAACTCATGTATCCAAGGAAGACAACCTTGAATTTCTGATCTTCCTGCCTCTACTTTCTTTTTTTTTTAATGGATGCCTTTTTTTCCATTCACCTTTATTATTTTTTTAAGATTTTATTATTGATTTATTATGTATACAGTCTTCTGCCTGCATGCCAGCAGAGGGCACCAGATCTCATTCAAGGTGGTTATGAGCCACCATGTGGTTGCCGGGAATTGAACTCAGGACCTCTGGAAGAGCAGTCAGTGCTCTTAAAGGCTGAGCCATCTCTCCAGCCCCCTGCCTCTACTTTCTTATCCAGTTGTTGGCAAACCAAAAAGGTCCTGCTGTTTTTGGTTTTGAAGACAGGGTTTCTCTGTGCAGCTTTGGAACCTGTCCTGGAACCAGCTCTTGTAGACCAGGCTGGTCTTGAACTCAGAGATCCACCTGCCTCTGCCTCCTAAGTCCTGGGATCAAAGGCGTGCGCCACCGCCACCACCGGGCTCCTGGGGTGTTTTGTACGAGCGGTTGGCTTTCATGCATATCTATGCACTGTGTGTGTGTGTGTGTGTGTGTGTGTGTGTGTGTGTGTGTCTTGGGACTAAAGTAACATACAGTTGTGAGTACAGACAGCTGGGTGTTGCCATGTAAGTGCTGAGAATCGAACCCAGGTCCTCCTCAAGAACATTAAGTGTTCTTAACTACTGAGCCAATTCTCTAGCCGCCCTGGTGTGTTTTGTTTGGCCCCAGAGATTGTTTGTGTTTCTGTTTATTTGCTTGTGACAGGATCTTGCCTTGTAGCCTTCTGGCCTCATATCAAGGTAGTCTTCCTGCCTTTGTCTCTCAAATCCTGGGGAACCTGCCTCACCCCCCCCCCACTTCAAATAAAGTAGGGTCTCCTGTAGCCTAGTCTGGCCTAAACTCTTTATGCTGTCAGAGACTTGTGAACTTGTGACCCTCCTACCTCTGCCTTCAGAGTACTAGGGTTGCAGATGTGTGTCACCAGGTCCAGTTCCATGTAACGCTAGACTGGATCCAGAACTACTGTGAATGCCAGGCAAGCACTCTACCAACTGAGCCACACCTACCAAATAACTAGTATAACCACGCAATGAACTGGTGCGTGCCATAAAAAAGACTGACGGAACTCACTGTACATTCGTATAGGATGATTTCCAAGATTTACTGTTAAAGGGTAGGTGAGGTGGCGGGGGCGCTGGTATTAGCAAAAAAAGTATACTACCTTTGGGGGGAGGGGGGCTGGTAGTAGTAAAAAAAAAAAAAGTATACACATTTTCCCAAAGGAAATATTTTTAAATCATTTCTGTATAATTTCACGGAAGGTCTAGTTTGGAAGGTGGCATTGTAGCTCAGTTGACAGTGTTTGCCTAGCATGTGTTAAGCCCTGAGTTTGATCTCCAGCTCTGAATAAAGCAGGGGTAGCATTTTGTGCTTTCGATCCCAGCACTTAAGAAAATAGAGATGGAAGGGTCAGCAGTTAAGGTCATCTGCCTTGGTGGCAGAGTTTGAAACTGGTCTGAGAGATACGTGAGACACCATCTCCAGAAGAAAAAAAAAAAAAATCTAGTTTTATTCTCTGTTTTGTATGGAGACAGGGTTTCACTATGGCGGCCTCAGTTCGACAGAGATCCATCTGCACGCCCACCTCAGATGGATCAAACCCTGAAAAAGTCTAGTTTATCGTTTCCTGGAGACAACATCTTGCTGTGTAACCCAGGCTGGTCTCAATCTCCCGACCTTCCTGTCTCCATTTCCTGACTGCTGGCGTTACCGAAGGAGACCACCACATGCAGCCAAAAGTCTAGATTTTTTTATTTTGTTTATTGTTTATTTACTTTTGGAAAAAGAGTGTGGGGACCTGGCTTCACTGGGTCAGCCTTGACCAGCAGCTGCTCCTTGGCCACTCGGCTTATGTAGTCTCCACTACTTCTAAGCATGTGCCTGCCCAGCTAGAACTCCCTTAAAATCCCCTGCCAAGTTCCCTGTAGGCTCTGGGAGGCTGGATGGTATGAGCAGGAGACGCAAGAGGCCTTCTTTGGCCAGCCCTCCAACCTGGCACTCACAGCTCGCTCCTTCTCCCAGCTCCAGCGATTTAAGCGTTCCCTCTCCCTCAAGACCATCCTCCGAAGTAAGAGTGTGGAGAACTTCTTCCTCCGCTCCGGCTCTGAGCTGAAGTGCCCCACGGAGGTGCTGCTGACGCCACCAACCCCACTGCCGCCGCCTTCTCCACCACCTCCCTCCACAGACGGGGGTCTACCCACCCCAGCACCCTCCCCGTGCCCAGTCCCACGCCCCTTGGCACCACTCAAACCAGTGAGGCTGCACAGCTTCCAGGAGCACGTCTTTAAGAGGGCCAGCCCTTGCGAGCTGTGCCACCAGCTCATTGTAGGTAGGTGCCTGGGCCCTGTGGCGGGCCGGGGAAGGACTGGTGGAGTACTGCCATGCAGGTGACACTTCTAACTGTGCCTCTTTTCCTGGGGAGACAAGCGAGGGTTGGGTGGGGCTGAGCTTTAGCTAATGCCAGAGTGCTTACCTACCACGCACTGGGCCTTGGATTCTATATTGTCGATTCTAGGAAAGAGCAATAGAGTGCTGGGTGGTGGTTGTACCTGCTGTTGCTCCAAACTCACTTCCATGTTGGCTTTGCTGTCCCTTAACATCTTCACTGTAGTAGGAGAGGTACCAGGCCCTGAAGCTCAGCTCAAGACTCAAGCATCGTCCTTTTCTCCATGCCCTCCACAGGCTGGTTTTTTTTTTTTTTTTTCTGTTGTTTTTTTGTTTTGTTTTGTTTTTCTTTAGGCAGGGTCTCTCTGTGTAGCTCTGGCTGTCTTGGAACTCACTCTGTAGACCAGGCTGGCCTTGCACGTTAGAGATCCGCCCACCTCTGTTTTCAGAGTGCTGGGATTAAAGGCGTGTCCCACCAGGCTTTTTGCTGTTGTTCTTTGTCCATGGATGTGTCCTTTCTTGGCCATTTCCTCTCGCTGAACCCACGTCTCTCCTAGGAAACTCCAAGCAGGGCTTGCGCTGTAAAACATGCAAAGTCAGCGTCCACCTCTGGTGCTCTGAGGAGATCTCCCACCAGCAATGTCCGGGCAAGACAGTGAGTAGGAGTTGGCATGTGACAGAATGAGCAAATGAACCCCTCCAGGCTGGCTCCTCCTGTGGGTGGCCCTGGGCTTGGGCAGGGACAATCTCTCCATGGGTCACTGTGTCTCTGAGTTCTCTCTGTGCCTCTTTTTGCCTCAGTCCACCTCTTTCCGACGCAACTTCAGCTCCCCACTCCTGGTTCATGAGCCACCACCAGCCTGTGCCATGAGCAAAGAGTCCCCCCCTGCTGGTAAGGGCCCTACACCCCATGGCCCCTGTTTCGGAGGTCCTGGAAGAAGTCCCACACATTTCCCAGTTCCGTGCTCGAGTCGCACTGGAACTGCTGATTCCTGGTGCTCCCTACTTTCCTTCTCTGAGTGCTGAATGTAGGCTCGATGTATTCATTTGTTCATCCATCCCTCAAACACGGTTTATTGAGCATCTACTTAGTGAGAGGCCCTATGCTGGACATTGAGAGACAGCACCGAAGAAGGTGGGATTGACTTGGGTGTGTTGTTCCATGGCAGGCATTCCAGCACTCAGAAGGCAGAGGAAGGGAGATAAGCCTTTCAAAGCTGTCATGGCTACATATAGAGTCTAGGAATTCAGGCTGGCAAGAAGGTGCCAGCCTGGGCTACATGAGACACTATCTTATAAACCAAATAATAATAATAGAGCAGGTTAGGGTTAGTTTAGCTTATCAAGTCAAGGCACTTGCCACCAAACCTGATGATCTGAGTTCTAGCCCCGGCACCCACCTGGTTGGAGCTTTGGGGTGAGTCCAGGTTGGCAGCTAGGTGCTAGGCACTGAAGGTGGATGCTTAGCAGGGAGCATCGGGAAGGTGGATCCGGTTTATGAGACCCTGCGCTACGGTACCTCCCTGGCATTGATGAACCGGTCCAGCCTCAGCAGCACGTCTGAGTCCCCCACACGGAGCCTGGTATGCCGGGCACAGAAGGGGAGCCCTCGGGGAGGGTATCTGAGTATGACTGTGGGCCCAGGGGCTGATCCCCCTCCTGTCTCTCCCCAGAGTGAACGCGATGAGCTAACAGAAGATGGGGAAGGCAGCATCCGCAGCTCAGAAGAGGGGCCTGGTGACAGTGGTAAGCCAGAGTAGCATGGCCCCAGGGACTGGAAGAGGGTGGGAAGGTAAGTTGAAGCTTCACACTCTGGTCTCGCCTTGGTGTCCCCAGTATTCATCGCCCCAGCAGAGAGCGAAGGGTCAGGAGCAGAGGAGAAGAGCCCTGGACAGCAGGTGAGCCTGGAGCCCACAGGCCAGAGTGGGAAGGAGTGCCACTTCTTGTTGTTGATCAATATGTACATAAGAGCATAGTACATAGGGCACTCACTTCGTCCTCCCTCGGGTGTCCTTGGTCCCTGGGGAGAAGCAACAGTCAAGCTGAGAGGCATGGAAGGTGGGAGGGATATCCAATGTCTGTTGCTCCACTCCTGTTCTCCCAAGGGCAGGCATTTCCCCGGTGCAGCAGACAAGGATGCCCTGCCTCTCTGTGTCAGTCCCACCCCGGCCCCATTATTAGGAAGACACACATTAGGCCAGAGATGCACTGGGCTCTACCTCACAGTGTCCTCGTCCTACCCCAGGACAGGCACACTCACAGCAATCAGGCAGTGGGTGGACCAATGAGGTGACCCACCGTCACTGACCCAGACCTTTTCCCACAGCCCCCAAAGCCGTCCCTGAGGAAGGATGTGGGGCCCATGTACTCCTACGTTGCACTCTACAAGTTCCTGCCGCAGGAAAACAACGACCTGGCTCTGCAGTAAGTCCTTTCTGTGGTCTAGTCCCACTGGTCCTGCCTAACACCTACTGATCTGGGAACGTAGGGTGGTGAGGACCTTCAGGAATTTTCTTCTTGCACATTTAAATATACTGTGTCCACAGAGAGCCTGGAGTTGCCCAGGGTGATGGGTGTAGTCTCCTGTCTTCTGCCCCAATTCTGGGCCTTTCCAGGGAGCCTGCCATATCTGTGATCTCAATGGCCTCAAAGGGCACTGAGAATCCTCTCCTGGCTGAGAGGGGTATGCAGGGCCCCTAGGTATCCACATGCTGCCCCAGCTCTCTCTTTCCCAGGCCCGGAGATCGAATCATGCTGGTGGATGACTCCAATGAAGACTGGTGGAAGGTGACTTGGCAGGATGGGGTCCGGGGGGACTCTGATATGTACTGTTCTGCCTTCCCTTCAAGCCCCAAATACCTCCCTTCCTCCATGGCTTGGCCAGAGCAAGTCCAGAGCCAGCCCTTGGGTCTTACTGTCAGTTCATCCTTCCTATATCAGTTCCCTCTGCCCACCTCATGGCCTTTCAAGGCCAGAAGCCACCACCAGCTGGGGGCTGGAATAACAAGAGCCCAGGCTCTGGCACTGGCTCTGAGTAGGAACTAGGTCTAGAGGAAGAGTGGGGGTGAGGCTGGTGCTTGGGCTCACTGCCAACCTCATCCCCAGGGCAAGATTGGCGACCGGGTTGGCTTCTTCCCAGCCAATTTCGTGCAGCGGGTGAGGCCAGGCGAGAATGTTTGGCGCTGCTGTCAGCCCTTCTCTGGGAACAAGGAACAGGGCTATATGAGCCTCAAGGAGAACCAGGTGGGTTCCAGGGCCCTGCTGTGGTTGAAGCATGGGTATATACTGAGGGAGGGTGTCAAGCGCCTTGAGGGAGGACCTGAAAGCCTGGTACAAGTGAGGAAGCTGGTTAGAAGTGAAGCCCTGGGAGCTGGTAGCTAAGTTGGTAGAGTGCTTGCTTTGGGTTCCATCCCATGCAGCGCAGAAACTGGATATGATGGCATATTCCTGTAACCCAGCTAAGGCAGGAGGATTGTCCTGGGTTTAAGCCTACGTAGCAAGTGTCAAGGCTACATAGTGAGACCCCCGTCTCAAAAAGATAAAAACAAAGGAATAGGATAGTAAGGTCCTCCCAGGAGACTTGAGCTGGCAGCTGACAAAAGGCTGCTTGATGTCAGAGGCAGTTGGAATAAAACATGAGCACTAAATTATGAATCTGGAGGCTTCGCTGTTTTCTATTTGTTTGTTTTTAATTTATTTATGTGTATGGGTGTTTTGTCTGCATGTATTTCTGTGTACCATGTGCATGCCTGGTGCCCACAGAAGCCAAAAGAGGTTGTTGGATCCCCTGAGACTGGCGTTACAGATGGTTGTGAGCCCATGTGGGTGGTGAGAATTAAAACCAAATCCTCTGGAAGAGTAACCAGTGCTCTTAACCACTGAGTCATCCATCTCTCCAGCCCCTGCTTTTTTGTTTTGTTTTGTTTTTGGTTGGTTGGCTGGGTGTTTTTGGATAGCCCTGGCTGTCCTGGAACTTGCTCTGTAGACCAGGCTAGCCTCTATCTCACAGAGTTAGGCCTCTGCTCCTGAGTGCTAGGATTAAAAGTGTGAGGTACCATGCCTGGGTGCTTTTTGTTTCTATTAGACAGTATTTTACTATGTAGCCCTAGCCCTAACTGGCCTGGAACTCACTATGTAGGCCAGGCTGGCCTTGAACTCACAGACATCTGCCTACTTCTGCCTCCCCAGTGCTAGGATTTAGGGTGCCCCTGGCTGGGTTTAAGCACTGACTGTGCCCTCTGGCTTTCTGCAGAGAAACCTCATGCAAGCCCTTTCCCCTCTGTCACCTCCTCTGTGGGATGGGATTCGGAAGGGGCATTGGTTTAACTGATCACCAGGCCTGATGTTGACACCCTGCTTGCTATGCCCTGGGTCCTGGTCATGCTGTTGATCTCTCATAGGATCTGCTTGCATCAGCTCCATCCACACCAGATACACCAACCCCACCCTTCCCTGGGGCGTGTCCTCTGGAGCCATCAGCAGTACTCATTCCAGGCCTCTCTCTCTATGTATCCACTCAGATCTGTGTCGGCGTGGGCAGAAGCAAGGATGCTGAAGGCTTCATCCGAGTCAGCAGTGGCAAGAAGCGGGGCTTGGTGCCAGCCGACTCCCTGGCAGAGATCTGACAGAAACCAAGAGAACCCAGATGCTACCCCTGCCCATGCCTGGCCCTTGCTTCTGGCCTGAGAGGGAAGCCAGCATCCTGGCCAACTCTTCCTCTCCCTGTCTCTCTCCTGAGCATCACTCACCCCCACTTAGGAGCCTTCTGCACTGAGGAAGGTTTTCTTTCTTGGGTGGGGTATCCTGAATGGGGTGATCTTCTGGGACTTGGTGAACGGAGTCAAAAGTGGGAAGAAATAAGGAAGCTACAGGTAGCCCACCCAGTGCCCAGGTACCACCTAGTCAAGTTGCCACAATGAGTTCCACCCTAGGGAGTCTCCTGCTGTCTTCAGAGAGTTGACCTGCCCATACTGCCTTTGCATGCCTGACTACTCTTTGCCCACAGCCTTTGCTTGGGTCTGCGTATCCACCCCTTTGCAAGTAGGGCCTTGTGAGAGGGCCTTTCGGTGTTCCTCAGCCATCTGCTCTGGATTGAGAGGGGACTGAGGACCGTGGTAGAGACCTGATTTCACCACCTGTCACTCCTTCAATTCTCAGGAAAGTTCAGCAATCTTTTCCATTACTTGAAACCCTTTCGGATAGAGCAGGGGCAGGACTGAGGTCTGGAGGGGCTGTGAGATGTAGGAAACTGTTGTGTTAAGGAGGTCCCCACAGAGCCGCCTCATCCTACCTTTGTCTACTAGAAATTGGTGTCCAAGAGCAGCTCGGACACAAACCCAGCTGAGAACAAGACACTGACCCCTGTTTAGTCAAAACATTTCTCGGTTATGACTCCAGAAATCCCCATCACCAGAAGCAGCCAGCCAGGGTAGTCTGTGGTTATGAGTCTGGTCTCTCTAAAAGCTCTGCCTTCAGATGGACCAAACTTAACCCTTCTCACCAGGCTCTACAGGGCCCATCTCTGGGAGGAATACCTTGACAGAAAGTTTGTTTCGGCCGCCAGGAAGGGGTCTAGGAACCCCTGGCCCTTGCAGACAGGATAAAGGACCTCTCCTTCAAAGGCTGCTTTTTTTTTTTCTGGTGCCAGCCCCTGCCCTCCAAGCTCAGAGCCTCCTTTTGTGCCCTGATCATGTCAGCCAATGCCACCCCCAGTTCTGGGCACAGTCATTCCCACCATACAGTGAAAGGACACAGATTCTCCTGCCCAACACACTTTGCCCCACCTTCCCCCCTAAGAGGGGACTAAAGCCACACTGCCCTGTTTGCTGCCATGAGGCCCCCCCAGCAAAATCCCCGGGGCGGGCCCAATGCCCACTGTACATGAGGCTGCATGACGGGTCTGCGGGGGAGTTGCTGAGCCCCCAGGCCCAAAATTAAATGTTTCTTGTCTCAGCTTGTCTGCTCTGTGTATGTGATTGGAATAAAAAAGCAGGCAGCGAGATGGGGGGAGGGGGAGGGGGCGAAGGATAGAAAGGTAGGAGAGGTCACTGATCTCTGATCTCTGAGTGAGATGCGCTAGCTTGGGGACCGCAGAAAGATACAGGAAGGACCAGAGGAAGGAGGGAAACAGTCAGGCGGGGAGGTTGGGGCTGAGGTCACGTCTGGGTTCCGTGCGTACCATAGTCGCGCAGGGGGCGGACCTACAGTGCAGTTGTTGACGCAGCCCGCCTGTTGTAGCGCAGGGCATCAGCCTCTCCCTGCAGCCCCCAAGCCCAAGATTCAAACATGGTGGAGGGGACAGTGGAGGATGGATGCTGGGGGCTTGAGATGACTCAGCAACGTCCGTCATCTGGAGCCTAGCGCGGGGAGGGGGACTCGCGCGCGCCCCTCTGCCGCCCACCTGCTCCAGCCAAGCGGCCGCCTTCCCGCGCCTGCCCGGCCACGTCACTCGCAGGGCTCGCGTGTCCTGGGCTATTTATAGGCTCAGGGGGGAGCAAGCGAGCCCGAGGCTGCTGCGGGGGTGACAGGGCAGCGGCAGTGCTGACAGACCACAGAAGGTGGGAATCTGCCCATCTGAGTCTGGGTCCCGCCTCCACTTTCTAGGTAGGCGAGGTGGGACCAGACTGTGGTGCCTTCTCCATGATCATCCTTCGGGCCCCTTCATCCAGTGAAAGCCATAGAGATTGAGGGTGGGAGGGGAAGAAGGGCAGCCCTCTCCTAGAATCCCTCACCCTGGAACTGCAAGGGAGTTTCACCCCCAAGTCTGAAGGCTTTCTTTTCTATGAAACCAATAATTTCCCTGCTTCAGCCTCCCAAGTGCTGAGATTGCAGGTATGAGGCACCATGCCAGGCTCTGAAGGCTATAGAGAGAATTATGTAACCCAGGCAGGCCATCTCCTGAGATTACAGGTGTGCATCGCCCATGCCTGCCTCGAGAGGAGTTCACACTCCAGGACCCAAGCCATAGTGGATCCTTTGACAGATGGGGACAATGTGGTAGAGATGGTAAGCGTTCTACCGAGGGTCACACACTTTATACAGCATAAACCCATCCCTTTTACACTCAGGAAAACTAATGCCCAGAGAAGGCTAATTACTTGTCCTGGTTATCAAGCAAGCAGTGGCCCAGACATCTTACTGCCCTTCCCTGTGAACCTCAGTGCCTCAAGCCACTAGGCTGGAGGACAGCCTGAGATGCTATACCAGGGGCTCCAGAAATAGATGCTCCCACCTCACCGGGGACAAGTGGGAATGTTGAATTCAAACCTTATGCATACCCAATGTCTGCCACCAGCCAGCAGCTGGCCTGGAGCCCCCCTCCCCCAGTCTGTTTACCGCACTGCTGAACACAGCAGCTTTTTCGGGTGGCTGAGCCACTGACAGCAGGCCTACAGCCTAGGGGTTGGCAACAGCTGGTGTCCCCACTGTAGCCTCTGCCCTCCTCTGTGCCTGTTCTTGGGGAATCTAGCTGGACCAGAAACATTACTGGCCTGGGGATCTCCAGAAATCTGCTGCCAGTTCCATCTCTGACCTACACACGCCCTTCTTCCTGAGCTCACCTGGTACACCCCACCTGGGCTCAAGGCAGATGCAGAAAGAAAAATCTAGGAGTCAGAGACAGGGAGGCCAAGAGGGACAAGGGAGTAGATGTTGGAGATAGGGAAGATACAGACAGGTTTTCTGTGTAATCCCACCACATTGCTAGCCAATTCCCTTCTCTTCAGCCTTCTGCATGCCCCAGTCTCCTAGGGCTTGAACCAACCAGGGGCCTGCTGAGACACTCAAGGAAGGCAGCCACGCACATGTAGACTTAGTCTCTTGTGCTTTATAGCAGATGGCCTAGCTTGCCCCTGTGTCAGCTTCACCAATGCCACCAGGGAGGAGGCCAAAGCCAGCCCCACCTTCCCAGCCCTTTCCAGCTCCCATTCTACTCTGCTCTGCTCTGTCAATGCACATGGTACTTCACTGCATCATACCAACAACTGGGAGCCCAGTGCCACATTTTCGAGCAACTAGTAACTAGACAATACTGAGGTTCTGGGAAGTCACTGGGCCTCAGTTTCCTTATCTAGAGAATAAGTGGGGTAGCCAGGCAGTGATGGCACATGACTTTAATCCCAGCACTCAGGACGCAGAGGTAAGCAGATCTCTGTGAGTTTGAGGCCAGCCTGGTCTACAAAGTGAATTCTAGGACAGCCAGAGCTGTAACATAGAGAAACCCTGTCTTGAAAAAACAAACAACAGCAAGGAAAGGAAGGAAGGAAGGAAGGAAAGAAAGAAGGAAGGAAAGAGGGGAGGAAGGAAAGTAGGAAGGAAGAAAGGCCAGTGGTTAAGAGCACTGGCTGCTCCTCCAGAGGACCCAGGTTCAATTCCCAGCACCCACATGGCAGCTCACAACTGCCTATAGCTCCAGTTCCAGGAGATCTGACACCTTCACACCAATGCACATAAAGTTAAATTAATATTATTTTTAAAAAAAGAAAGAAAAGAAAATGAGTTGGGTTTGCTCAGGGTATTTACCTGGGAGACAGTGAGCCCCTTGGAAAGATGTATGGTGGGAACAGTTCTATGTTTTTTGCTCTGTTTTGCTATGTATCCCCAGCTGGCCTCAAACTTGGAACAATGAGGCTCCTGAGTGCTGGGATTACATGTACCACCATTCCTGGCTAGTCATACACCTTTTTGTTTGTTTGTTTGTTTGTTTTTTGAGACAGGGTTTCTCTGTGAAACAGTCTGGGCTATCCTGGAACTCACTCTGTGACCAGGCCTGCCTCTGCCCCTCAAGTGCTGGGATTAAAGGTGTATGCTACCACCACACCTCCTGGCTAGTCACATACTTTTTAAAAATTTGTTTTTATTTTTATTTTATGTGTTTCTATGTGTGTGTGTATGTGTGGTTACATATGTGAGGACATCAGAAGCCCTGGAGCTGGAGTTACAGGTGGCTGTGAGCTGCCCAATGTGTGCTCTGGGAATTGAACTCAAGTCCTCTGGCTTAGCAGCAAATGCTCTAAACTGCTAAGCATCTCTCCCCGGCACCCGAGTCACATACTCTTGAATGAAAGGCCCCATCGTTAGGGGCTGGAGGGGCTGAGTGGGTGGAGCTGGAGCTGGAGCTGGAACACATGCTAAGAACATACTGTGTTTGTAACCTCAGGGCTAAACTCATTGGATTTCTAGGATCTGGAATGGATTCAATGTATACTTATGGGTGCTTAATGATTGAGGCTCCCTGAAAATTAAACTCCTTCCATATATTTTCCTGTAAAGGTTATCCGCGCTCACAGTAGGAGGGATGTACCTTCCAGGCCTAGGGTGACATTCAGGAAGAAATGACACTGGGGTGGTGGAGTGAGTGTGGCTCAGTAGCAGAGCCATTGTCATGAGTGAACTGAGAAAAGACAATTAAATAGGCTTTTCTGAGGTGTCCTCCAACTTTGCTTAGTTTGCTTCTCTGTTGCTGTGATGAGCAGTGACCAAAAACCTCAAAAGGGTTTATTCAGCTTACAGATTACAGCCCATCACCAAGGGAAGCCAGGAAGACCTCAAGGTGGGAACCTGAAGGAAGGACCAGAAACAGGGGCTGTGGGAGGATACTTACTGACTGCCTAGGACCCTCGGCAGT